GCCCTGTTGGGCAAAGAGCTGCCTCGGGCAGAGCGGGATCAAAGCCAAGTGCCAGACCTGCCGCGTAACGGGAAATGGACTAAGATGTGTATAAAATAGCATATTTGTTCTGCTCAGTGTTACAAAACCATTGAGCGAGCGGGGAGGGGGCAAAGAAAATGGCTGTGATTAACTACAGCTCCACTGGTTTCAGCCTGGCTGCTTTAATAAGGCACCTTTCCCAGGTTTTATGCAGGATTGCACACAGGAGGCCTCTTGACCAGCCAGAGTCTGAAGTTCTCAGTAACTCCTGCAGCTGCCAACAGGTACTTGTGCTTTAGCTTGCCCAGGAGAGACCCTTTTGGTATTTAAAACACCTTTTTCTCTTCAAGACTCTTTCTCTTTTTTTTTTTTTTTTTTTTTTTTTTTTTTTTTTTTACAAAATCCACTGTACATAGAGCAGGGAGTAGAAGGGAAAACAGGCATTGATTTGGCACTAAGCACCAAAACCTGACCTCAGCCCAAAGAGATGACCAGGCAGATGTGCCAGGGCCAAATGTCCCCCTGGAAGCATGAGCCACATGCCCTCCAGCACAGGCAGGAGCGGGCAGAGCCGGCGCAGCCACTGCCCTCTCACCCTCACACCTCCCCCTGTCCTTGCCTGCCCTGCAGCCAGATGCCAGTGAGGGGCAGGTCCTCTTCTGGGGCCACCCTGCACATCTTCTGTGCCTCTGCTGCAGCACAGGGCCATCAGGGCAGGACCACAAGTGCCAGCTTCTCTCCAGGTGCTCACTCCTGCTGCCAGACTATTGTAAATCAGGGGTTACCCTGCTGCAGGCAGTGAAATGGCTCCTGATTTACAACATCCTACACAAGAGGAGAACTTGACCTTACACTTCAACATCAGTGCAGCTTCCTTTGTTGAAAGCTTCTTAAGCAAGACATGTAATCAATCCTGGAAAGCCAACAAGCAGCAGAGCTCAGGCTCTGCATAAGCCAGGGCCAGGCTTCCCAGGGAAATTGCTTGAGCCATGCTCCCATGACATCTATTCCTAGGTGCTCCCTGAATGCTGATAGGAGTGTGTTTTTCTGTTTTGACTTTGTCAAAAAGGGGCTGCTTTAAATTAATACAATCCACAAAGAGAATTTTTCCGTAATAAGTCTGACTTACCTGTGCTACTAACCCTTCAGACAGACAGGCTTTTCAGTGAGCTCAGGTCTTTGGAAACTCTAGCCTTTATAGGCATTTGATGTTATTTTGGAATCCAAGAGGAAAAAGCTTACTGCCTTGCCTCTGTTTTCATGGCCATAATTATGAGGGCAGTCTGGTGACGTAACTTGTTTGGGAAATAAATGATACCTTTCAACAGCGGGTGCTGTCAGACACTTCATTCCTTGTAACTATTTTAGAAATCCAAATTCATGTTGCTCTTCCACAGCATCAGATGCTGTTCTTGTTTATGCTTGTGTAAGCCCCTTGCTATACCTCTGCCTTTAGGAAGCCTATTCCATGTTTACACTGCCTGCAAGGCAGCAGAATTTGGCTCATGGTGTAAGTCTACGTATGTCTTGTGGTGTGATCTGCTTGTCCAGTAGACGCAATGGGAGAACCATACAGATGTTATTTAATCTTACTCCCTCACTAGATGTAACTATTCACCTTAGTGATACAGACCAAGAAAGCAAAGGCAGGATCAGACTTCAGGCACTTTCACACTTTAAATTGAGAAAAGGGGAAGGTAAAGTTCAGACAAAGTATTTTTTGCAGAACAACCAGGCAATTCATTGTGATAGAGGCAGTACCTGTTGCAGCCTGACACCAACCAGAAGTGCTGTGCTAGTGCTCCAGTTGCTGAAATGTCACCCCGTGGTCATCATGCCTTTCCCAGCACATCCTTGCCTTGTGTGCTCCCACCCAAGCCACCAGCTGCCCTGAGGCAGATCAGCAGCCTGGCTCTAAGGCTGCATCCCAAGCAGAGCACTGGCCACTGCAGTTGTGTGCCAACCCCCCAAAAGATATGTTTAAGAATTAGCAGTTAGAAGTACAACCAGAGACAGCAAGATAATAATATTTAGTCCTATTCCTCTTCCAAACTTGATACGGTCCTGGCTCCTCACAGAGCCTCTGCAGCAAGGAAGGATCAGCATTCCCTCTTGGGATGTGAGGAACTGGCACACAAGAGGGTGAAAAGCTCTAGCAGCCCAAGAGCTAGACAAAAAAAAAAAGTGAAAAAAAGTGGGTACAAAACACAGGTACAATACAAACTGTTTTCCATAAATTCTGTGGGAAACAGTTGGCATGTGCAGACACCCCACCCCAGTGTTTGTAACCCCAACCCCGTAGAACCGAAATGCTGAAAGCTGCATTGACACCAACAAAATGAAGGACAAAGAGAGGGCATTTTTTCTTATATTTATTAATATCCTAAAGAAGCGTGTGTGGGCAGCAGCCTTCCCTGCCATCTGTGACTGCCGTGCTGGTGGCGCGGCAGGGGCCGGGCGCTGTTGGCTCCCAGCGCCGCGGTCAGACCGGCTGCTCCAGCAGGCAGGGCAGGCCCGGCCCCGCCAGCGCTGCTCCCCGGCAGGACACGGCTCATGACAGAAAAGCTGCTGAAATGGTGCCAGTGTTCACAGCCAAACAAACTCACCTTTGTCCTCGCCACAGACGTACTCACAGGCATTTCTCCCCCTCTCCGCTGTCTGGAGTCGACTCGGCGTTTCTGGCTCATTCAGACACTTGCTGAGTTCTACAGCCTGTTTTGGGCAATTGTTTGGTGGGGCTGATTTCCTTTGCTGGAAAAACTGGCTTCTTCCCTCCTTGCCCTGGTTTCACACAAGTGCATGTCATTCTTAAGACGAAGCTGATTGGGGTCATTGCCCTCAGAGCCTCTTACTCACAAGGACCTGCTCTTGACATAGAGCCACAAGATCTCTGACAAGGCTCAGCGTGGCCATGCTTGGGAGAGGTCTCCTGCGCACCTCAGCACCAGCAGCAGAGCTTGTACCCAACTTCTTTAAACCCTGACTTTTTCCTCTCATTTTTACTTCAGATGCTGTTTTCTTCCTTCTGGCTCTGGAGAACAGGCTTCCAAAAGGACCCACTCCAGGTTGGGGGTGACCTTGCCAAACCCCTCCCTCCAGCATGGATGAATTTGAGGGAGATCACCCCCAGGAGATTTCCTCAGGCTTGCCATGTCCCTAGCGCACCCAGGACAAAGGGCAGCGCCGACACGTCTTCTCCACCAGCCCCAGGAAGCTGGAGTGGTGTCTGGCTCTGTTTAAATGAGGCAATTTTAGCTACAGAGTCTATTTGTGCATTTATTTAAGATTGCTAAAGTTTTCCTGTTTCTTCCTACCCCTCCTCCCAGTCTCGAATCCCCGAGGGGAGGCACCAGCTCTCCTGTCAGGTGATTTCTGTGTCAAAAAAATGAAATGCCATATCTGCCATCACCCTCACAGTCATTAATGGACAAGCAAACGAGCAAGGTGAAACTGTGCCACGGCTCCAGCCCTCCTCACAGCTTTATTTCTGATGGGCCAACTGATATGTGCATTTAGAAACAAGAACTGTCACTCAAATAAAAATGGTGCTATGTAAAAAAACACCCCCAAACCACAGAGATTAATTGCATGTTCACCTATAATTACACTGGAAAAGCAGAGCAGACCTAAGGGATCTTGCCTTAAAATAAAATTAAAGCCTGCTTCAACTCTTTGTCTAGCCCATTTCTTCGACTAACAGCACACACTTTGTAGCATCCTGGATAAATAAAATTAATTCAAATATCTGCACGTCTGAAATGTTGTAGCTGAAAAATGAGCACATGAAGTATATGCAGTTTTCCCCTGGCAGTTTATTGTGGTATGAAGAAAAAAACATTCTGTGCTTGAAGCTGACGTTATATTACAAATGTATTGCGAAATATGACGTGACTATTAAAATATGATTACACAAAGTATGAACATTTTAAGAAGTTTACAGTACAGTGAATCTTTTATAAACAGACTCTTAAATATACATAGGACAATAGTTGCTGACAGAAAAACATCAAAAATTAACTATTAATGTTTATAGACTTTTCCCCTGAAAAAAAGTCTCACATTAAAACAGAAATTATGAAAAGCCTTAAAACCAGGAACAAATCACCTGTACACTACAAATATACATGGCAGAGGTGCACAAACCAGAGCTGCCTCGTTGCTGAAGGATCCAGTCTTGGGGCAGGCCTGGCTGGGGCTGCCCAGCACCCCCTCCCCGCTGCCCCCCACTCCGCCCCGGCTGTGCGGAGCCTGGCGCCCTGCCAGGCACATCACCAGCTCACATCACTAGCTCACATCACTGCAGGACAACAGACAACACCTTGCTGGCGTTGAATCAACCTGCTGGAGTGTATCGAGTTGAGATCCTTGCCCAGGATCTTGGAAAAAGATCTCTGCAGGCAGACCCCGGAACGTACTGGGAGCCCAGGTGGGACCTACATGCCAGAATGGGGCTGTTGAGACTGAGCTACGAGGGAATCAGCAGCTCCTTCCATGGAGCTTATTATTTTTTAATGCAACTTTTCAATCTTTCCTCTTGATATGAGAGAACAGATGCCACATTTGATTTCTGCTTAGTCTGGTTGCAATGACACCCCTAGTTCATGTGTTAAGTTATGTCAAAAACATAAGTATTTTATGCTGTAATACACAGTATTACTGAAACTAACAATATTATTTGCATATTTATAACAAGGTATAATGAAATCCCTATAATAAAACCAAAAGTTATGCTATAGATTTATTTACAAACAGTCCAGCAAAGAAGTATAAATACTTCTACATTTAAGGTTTAGGAAAACATAATTTACAAAATATTCAAATATATACAGTCGTCTGAAAAACTGCCAACATTAAACTTTGATGCAGGCAAAGAATTGGCTGAGTCTATTCCTTCTGTACTGGAAGAGGCTTTCTTGGGCTGTCTGTCATTTTCAAAAGCCATACGTGTGTTATTTACAACGAGCCTGCTTCTCTCCAAGCTAAACATGTCCGGAGCTTTGAGCGTGCTGTCCCAAAATGTCATCTATCATTGTCAGATTGTTCAACCACTCTTCATCGTTGCTGCTGCTGCTGTTCTTCATGAGGGAGTCGAGGAAGTCAGTGTCACTGCAGTTGGGGGGCATGACGGAGCTGCTGTGCTGGGACACGAACTCGTACTGCGGCAGCTCGGCGGGCGCGCGCCTCCCTCCC